CCTAACCCTATCCTTAACCTTATCCCTAACCCTTAATCCTAACCCTGACTCTAAATGACCCTAACCCTATCCTTAACCTTATGCCTAACCTTAACCCCTAACTGTCCTTAAATGTAAAGGACCTAACCAGCCCTAACCCTAAACCCTAACCCTAAATGACCATTACCCCTAAACTTAACCCTTAACCCTAATCTTAAGCCTATCCTTAACCCTAAATGCTAACCTTAAATGTTCCTAACCTGTAACCCTAACCCTAAATGACCGTAACCACCTAAACTTAACCCTAATCTTAACCTTATCCTTAAACCTAAATGCTAACCCTAAATGATCCGGACCTATAACCCTAACCCTAAATGACTGTTACCCCCTGAACTTAACCCTCCCCAAACCTAACCCCAACCCTAAACTTAACCCCTAACATTAACCCTAACCCTAAACCCTAACCTCCAACCCTTAACCATAACCTAGCCCCTAACACTAAGCCTACCCCTTAACCCTAACCCCTAACACTAAGCCTACCCCCTAACCCTAAGTCCTAACCTCCTTAACCATAATCCTAACCCCAACCTTAACCCTAATGACCAAGACTCTTCCTGCTGCCCCCCCAATGGCCCCCAATGTCACCTCCATCATGGTGACAATCCCCCCTGGCAGTCCCAGCTCCCACAGACCCTGGTGTGAGGGTGCTGCTGTCCCCAACGGGGGACCCTGACACCCCCTGTGTCCCCTATGGGTGGGACCCAGGGAGTCCTGCCCCGAACGTGGTCCTTGGTGGTGTCCCCAAGCCTGGGGACACACACAGGGAGACCCCCAGACACAAGGGAGATGTTTGGGGTGACTCTAAATTCAGGGAGCCCTGGGGTGACCCAGACCCAGGGGGCCACAGGAGTCCCCAAACCTTGGGGACATGTGGAGGGACCCTTGCCCACGTGGGACACACAGGGGCCCAAAACCATGGCAGGGGGAGGGGGACATGGGTGCCCAGACCCGGGGGACATGGGGAGTCCCCAGGGAGGACACACGGGGGGTCCCCAAACATGCAGGAAGGTCATGGGAGGGGGTGGTCTTTAAACCCAGGGGAACACAGAGGGTTTTCCAATCATAGAGGGAGCTCATGGTGGGGAGGGGGCCCTCAGACCCCCTCCCCAAATCCCCCCACTCTTTGTACCCCAAAACCCCCTTGGCCCCAATGTCCCCCAGACTAAGTACCCCCAAGCCCCCAGTTCTGATGCCTCCCCTGGACTCAGAGC